AATAATAATAATAATAATAATAAGATACCATAAACATTTAACTGAATGCCAAGAGACATTTTCTTGATTTTCTTCTCTTTCAAGGGTATTTACATCTGTAGCAATAAGTTATATATCAAAGTATCAAACAGAGGAAAAATAAAGGACATCAAATGCTTGTGTTTCATCAATTCCAAGATAGACCTATTAAAATGTTGAAGCCAAGGCATGGTAGAAGTAGAACATTAAATCAAACAAAAATTCCTACAGCATAGAAAAATTCAAAACAGAATGAAAAAGAAAATTTACCATCTCATCATTGATCCTATGATACACCAGCTTCCTCATCTCTGTAGTGACACCCAATTTTATTTTTAAAAAATGATTTGCAAGATCCAGAAGGCACACAGGACATGATCAATAGGGTTAATAACCAAGAAAATATGGATGTTTCAAGAAATTTGGACCAAAAGAATTCTTGTCACTATAACAGAACCAAATACAGATAGAATAATGTTGGTAAAATTGTCAAGGATGTTCTTTGATTTCACATGCCAATACAGGAGACAAAAAGCTGCTTAGCAAATGTAAATGTCAAATTTCAAACACTTTGCAGTGAATTGAGAAAAAAGAGTGAAGAAAAATTAGGATATATGGAAATTGATGGCAAAAAAGACAGCAGAACAACTATCCAAAAAGAAAAACTGAATGCAAAAGAGAAAGGATGGAGCAAACACAAGCAGCCATATAATAAATTGAAAAAAAAAAAGAAGTTAATTATACAATAACTAAATAATATTACAGCATCATTTCCTCCAAAATACTCAGCCAACAAAAGCAGAACCATAGACATTGAAAACTTTGGTGGATAAATTTAAGCCTACTTAATATAAAATTCACTCCTAAGTACATTGCCCTGAAAAGGACATGAACCAAAAAAGGAGCAGTTTGACCCAAACAAGGAAGAGAAATGGTGGTTTCCTTTCTTCTACTCACAGGAAGAGAGAGGGAGACTCTTACCTCCACCAACATGTGAAAACCACCATCTTGCACTCCTCTATCCCATGGACATGTTGCCTAGGGCAGCTCATTTTACTGCTATGAAAACAAATTAAGGAGATCTTGAGAAACAGTTGATAGAACAGAAAATAAAACATAACATGAAAGGTTTAAGCTTCAGCCTGTCAGACAATGAAAATGAGAAAGAAGTAAAAGTTCAAACTAACTACTGTGGAATCACCATGCTTTGGAACCCAAAATCAGACTCATAGCACTCCCGAAGGTCCTGCGAATAAGAACACCAAATAACTTCAACAACAAGGAGCAAAGAAGGAAAAACAAAAGACAGAGATAACCAAGGTTGTCAAAATCGAGATTTTACCTAAAAT